TGTGTGAGTGCGTCGCTCCTTTTTCGCGTTTCTAACATGTCGGCCCCAGTAAAAATGTTAGTGAGCGATATGGGGCGGAAAGCGACAAGGGATGTTTCCGACAATCTCTACAGACAATTGAATTGAATGACAAATAACTTCAGTAGAGGCATGTGATAGTCGACTCTTTGTCGACGCACAACACTGCTAGAAAATATAAGGAAATGATAAACCAAACTGTAAGTAAAATCATAAACGCAGTATCCATAAATGTGCTCGAGAACCCCCTAAGTCGTGTGTTGCTATTTCCCTTGATAAAGACCCGTTGATCTTTGTACCTTTGACAAAAAATCTAACGATGATAATCTTCATATGATAGTCTAACTGATAATGCTCCTGCGCAACTAATAACCCGAATTAATATGCTCATGAAGATAAGTATTAAAGGACAATAAATTGCATGAAGTCTTCACATCTTCTGCAAACAAGTCGAGCGCGACGCGCGCATGACATTGTTCTCTCGCGCATATCATTATCATGAAGCCGTCCGTTGCCGACTTTTGTTCACGTGTTGGTTCGTCAGCCAGGCCATTTCTCTTCTCTTTGCATTATCGGGCAAGTGTCTTGTTCGGTGGATAGAACGAGACTGCTGGAGTGATCTGGATTCGAGGCTCACTCACTGTTGATTACGAGCTTGGAGAAAGTCCTGATCACACTGAATCAATGATCGTAATTTAGACTGTCGGGCTCCTATGGAATAATTCTCGTCGAAATGATGCTTGTTTTCAATTAACGTGAATTTCTTGTATACTGGATGTGGAAGAAGATGCGAGATGTGTAGTGATGCGAGATATGGCCTTTAGGGATCATACCATCGAGTTGAAACCATGATGAGGCAACCTTTGATAATATATGGCCTGCTCTTCATCGTCGCGATTGCGACGCCTCAAGGCGTTGTGGCGGAGAAGTGTGGCCCGGGTTCTTCGTGCGGAGGAGATAGTGGCTCCGAAAAGACATCTACATCCCCTGCAGAGCCGGCAGCACTCGCTGAGGGAGACAAGCAAGAGGAGCAACTAAAACAACAAGCTGCACAACGCCTAGCCGCACAACAGAGCGAGGCGCAAGATCAACAACCCGCACAACAGCGCGAGGCGCAAGAACAACAACCCGCACAACAGGGCAGGGCACAAGGGCAACAAGCTGGCGAGGATGCGAGAGAAGATCCCAAAGAAAATGTCCAATACGGAAATAAGCTCATGGCAGAAAAGTGGAAGAAGCTCTGGAAGGAGCAGGACTACCTGAAGAATGTACTTGGAGGCCCCATGCTTCTGCACCAGCCCCACGAGGACACTTGCGATCTGCAGTTTACGCAGATCCTCGAAGGCAGTCATCCAGTAGCGGCGGAACTCGGCACTGTCGTGGCACAACTATTACCTTCTGGCTTAGAAGTCAAGGGAGACCTGCCTGTGTACCATGGTGGCAAGAGCATAAAAACGGAAACGCCGCTGCCGGAGCCAGCTGTCCTCCTGGATCCGCAACATTGCGCGACGTATCTTGGCGCGTCCTATCCTCAGGAGTTCCGAGGGGTGATCATCCAAAGAGGAGCCACGGCCGAACATGTTCAGGTGCACACAAGTGTCTATGACCGCTTGAAAATGGATCCGCAGAGAGAAGGCAGGCGCTTGCGCCTAAACGCGATCGTCGTTCAGGGCCTGGGAGGATCCACAACGAACGCGCTGCAGCAACAAGCTGTAGATCAACGCAGGACGCACGAGGGAGATAAAGAGGAATTCCGCGTAATGACGTGGGGCACCTTTCTCAAGGAAGTGCCAGTTGACCACGCAGGCAGCGGAGACGGTGAAACGTCCACCGCAGCGGCTTTGGCGCGGGAACAGCGCGCTAAGATAGAGAAAGCCAAAAAGCAACCGGACGACAGCCCTGAGCAAGCGCAACCTGGCTACACGTTTCTCCCAGGAGAAAACTCCAGCGAGGATCTTGCAATCACACATGAGGAGTTAAACGAGATAGCGAAGCGAGGCCATAGGTTGGCCGACTTTTACAGCAAGCAGCGTAAAGAAAAACGTAAACAGGCTTCGATGATCGAAGAGAGCCCCAAAAAGAACGAATTCCTGACAGAGTGCAAATGGAGCGCAATCGTCGGCATCCTTGCGGCGGAGGAAGATGACCTAGCATAGAAGCAGAAATGGGTCAAAAAGAATGAGGATGAAGCAGATCCGTTCCGGATACCCATCTGGTGGTACAGGTATGGAGATCCAGAGAAGAAAGACGTTCTCAAAATGCTGGCGGAGAACCCGAAGTTTGAAGACATGAAGATTCTAACTTCGAAGGGGGTTCAAGAGAAGGCAGCCGTCGAAGCGGAGGACCGCGCTGGTGCACCCTCAGAAGGACCCAGCAGCTTCGCTCAAAACAAGACCATCTCATCATGGGACAACTTTCGCGACGTAGGTCCACAACCTGGTCAAGAAGTCAAGCAACAGTCCGCAGATCGAAAATACTTCAGGACGCCGGGTGATGAAGGTAACCGCGATGATGTTGCGGCGACTCCTTCCAGTCCTTCTTCTTCTACTACACCCTCATCCGTAGTGTATGGTATATCAAATAGAGGAGCAGCGACAGCATTCACGACCCCCGAAGGCTCTGCTAACGTCATCAATTTGCTTGGGGATGATAAAAAAAGTTATCATCAAGAGCAACTACATAGCGAAGAAGACATTTACGACCAAGGCGACAAAAAATCGGTCCAAGTCCCCAACACAAATCAGGCCGGTGTCACACACGTTGCGTCTACATCTGCTTCCACGACATCAACTGGTCCGTCTTTGTCTCTTGGTGAGGCTTTCAGGTTTTGGGCTCGGTCCGTTGATGACTACTTGCGCACCATTCCTCCGTACCTGGCCTTGCCATCCGCCTGCACCTTCTTTGCCGCTCTGGTGTGGTGGTTATTCCTGTTCGACACACATAAGCCACGCCAGACGCCTTTCGGGGTCGAGGATAAACGCGGACGCGAACTTCTTTCGTCCAGCTCTGACCTCCTTGATCAGTCTCTTGAGTTGCAGCAACTGCAGCAAGAACGAATGAAGAAATATGGCGATGAAAGCAACACGACGGAGGAAGAGGAATCTACAACTAGAGGTGCAGACGAAAGCGGTATATTGGGGTTCCTCAACAAACGCTCGAAGACAACGACGCAAGAAGGGGGGCTTAGCAGTCAACCTGGAGAAGATGGCGGAATAGTAGACGCGTTGAGCATAAACGATGCCGAGTATGTTGACGGGGAGGACGAACACACTGCCTTTCTGCAGTACGATGGAGCACAGCAGCACGGAACTTAATCGGGCGGAAGGGTGAAGAAGAAGATGAACTTCTTAAAATTAAACACAGACGAAGGTGAAAATATGTACATCATGAAGTGTGTCATCAAAGAGGAATAAGTGCAATGAATAGCAAGACATAAGAAAGTGACTATAGATAGGTGTGAAAGTCAAAGTCTGTAGAGTCGAAAGGCTAGGGGTCGAGAGGCTTTTGTAATTGGGAGACTAGAAAGACTTAACATCGTTAGAAAAAAGAGGGCAGGTCCAGTAGCGAAGACTCAGAAATAACTAGTCGACGTGAAGGCCGCCTCTTCATCCTCGGTGTACTTCTAGCGGCGAGAAGTTTCGCACGGAGAGCGTAGTCCCAGCCATTGGTGAACGCCGAGAACAAAAACGGGGCTGGGAGTAAAAACGTTTTCTCTTTCTCAGAAGTTTCCTCAAAAAAGAAGAGTTGGCTAAGGGAACAAAAAGAGTTTAGTGCCTAATTAAGTAGAGGAAAAACACATCCATAGTTAAACACGGGTAATTGATAAAGGGGAGCCATAACAAGCTTCGAAAACAAAGGGAGAGGCTGCAAGGGGAGAACAGGAATATCTTTCTTGTAGACACACTTCTTCTTGAGGACACGAAAAGAAAAATCTTGCTGCTGTTTTCAGTAGCTACAGCTCGACGCCGAGAGCGAGTGTCTGCTTGCAACGCGGGTTGTGCCAGTAAGAGGCGGCAGGCAGCTCCGGATGGCTAGGCGACGCAGTGTAAAAGAAGAAGTAGAAGTGAGAGGAATCGAGAGTAGTAGAATGAAGTGGAACAAGTGAGAAGCCCATAGCAGCAAATAACTGAAGGGGAGAAGAGGTAGTAGTTTCTGCTGATTAGTTTGTTGATGTAGAGAAGCCGAGCTTTGGCACAATTCGATGCAAGAGAGTGAGTTCGATCATGTCGAGTAAAAATACCGCTAATCGAAAAGTTAAGAAGGGCTAACGGGATCAAGTCCAGCACCCACGTTCGACGAATCCTATTTAGGGGATCTGATCGATTTTGCAGCTGCTCTGGGAGAGGCCGCGAAGCAATCGAAGGACCGAGCCAGGGGCGATGCTTCTTCTGCCTCAGCGAGCATGGAGATGGAGCTGTCGAACAGTCTGAGGCTGACTCTAGCTGAACGTCGTGAACGTGGTTTGTGGGTACCGCCGCAAAAGCCGGAGGAAGCGTACCAAGTACCGAAGGAGAAGCTCGCAGAGTGGAACAGAAAAGCAAAAGAGGAGAATAGGCCGTACGGATGGGGCCTATATATGGCAGCTGAGCTAGACAAGGTGGAGACCGGAAAAGAGAGGTGGCTTAGACAGAAGGAAGCGGACTTGCATAGCCACACCTGGGATACAGGACCTTGCTCTGCGCGGCAGGCGGGTTTAACACGTGGGGGGAGAGACGCGCACAACGTCTTCGGTCACATCCTTACCGGGAATAGCTCGAAAAGTGAGCAGAAACTTAAGTTAGACGAGCACGAGCAGAAGAGGAAGATGGAAGAGGTAGAAAGTGCCTATTATAAAAAGAACTCGATCAGTACTATTTTGACTAAGAAGAAGATCTAGTTTTAAAGACCCAGAAAATGAACAAAATGAGGAGGGAGAAAATCCAGCCTCCTCCATAGCGTTCGGGTCCTTGTAAAGTGATTTTAGCGCTTGTCAAATGACAATGAGCTACATCGAAGGGCACTTGCATGGTGTTGAATTTCAAAAGTCAGGACGATCGACGTTTGGAAGTAAATGCTATAGCTTCAAAGAGAAGCAACAGTAGAAGAACTTAACTTAATCTTAAGACTTCCAAAAGCCAGATGTTACTTGATGAAGATCTTCGTGCTGCTAGATGTAGGAAATAGAAGAGGTGCAGTAGACTCAGGTAGATCAGTGTGTAGGTGCTGTTGTTCTGAAGAGTATATTGAAGCGGATAGCCGCGAGTGAGAGTAGCGATCTGGGGTAGTTGATTCCTCAACGAGCTCAGCAAGTCCGTCTAGGTGTCCGCGGAGGTCAACTAAGTGGAGGGCGTTGCCTACTTCGAAGCGTGGGAGAGAGGCTTTGCGGTAATGCAGTTGCTAGACAACTTCTTCGTTCGTCAACTACATCTAGCTGCCAATAATCAGGGACGGAATTTGTCGGACATGAACTAAATGTACTGCATGTAGAGGGAGCTACCGGCCAGAGGATTCGCGGAAGGGTCCGATCGTAATTTCTGCCGATCTGGCGCTTGATGCGCAGGGCTGTTGGGAGCCCCTCTCGATCTAAATCTAATACTAAATGGGCCTCGGCATTGGCCTTTAAGAACAGAATTCAAGCACCAGCACTGTGCCTCAGGCTTCACATGATACACATAGAAGCAGGTCCACAACACCAGCGAAAGCGCTTTTCGCCGTTCCAGTTGCAGTTTCCATCTAGTTGTGCCAGTATCCTCTGGGTCCTTTCGTAGTCTACTTCGTAGTCTGTCTGTAGTATCCTACTTTCTTCGTTTTGTGTCTGTGAAATTTTAGTTCTAATTCTATTTCTGGTCCTTTTAAATTCATTTCATTGTTGGTACAAGACCAAGAGGCGGTCCGTCTTAGATATCCTTTAGTGATCATGTCTTGAAATTTGGCGTGAGATGAGTTTTTGATAAGGATGGAGGCGTCAGACGACTTTGAATTGGAAAAGGCTGCTTTGAGTCCTCGCGCATCGTCGGCGTGTACAGTCTCGACATCCACGTCGCCTCAGCAAGAAATTGGAGCGAAAACGAAAAGCAGCCACAGTCTTTCTGCTAGTACGCTAACAGATGGTGGACATGATGCTGCAGCAAGAACCAGGTGTGACAAGATGCAGCTGCTGGAGGGGAGGAGACCAAATACGGGTCTGGTGATGGAAAGCAAGCTTGCTGAGGAGGGAAGGGGAAATGTTGCTTCTAGTATGACGATTGGAAACATGCAGACGACCCAGACCGTACCGTCAACCCGCGCGGCGCACGAAAAGTCACCCGTCAAGGCTACAGAAGTACGTCTGACCGAAAAAACTAATCTCCTTCCGAGGGAAAGCACGGCATCGGAAAAAGGCGTGGGGCCATCCGCCTCGAATACAGGACGCGGAGATACAATGATACGCGCGAAGAGCAGATCCTGCGTCGCTGCTTCACACAAGGCAAGCGCCGCAATTCCGGAGCTGAAGACTGGTGTTACGATATCGAAGCAGAAGGAATCTTCTTTCATCAATCTTGTGATATCATGTGATGCTCTCTATCTTTAGTTATACATAGATACGATGATAGTGCTCGTGCTGGTGTCACGCTTTTGTAGTAGGCGTTCATCTGTTCGTTACATTAAATGTGAGATGAAAGAGGTTTTCGCACACTCAAATCCTTTCAAGAATAAGAACTCGCCAGTGGACGATCGTTATCCGAGAGACGAGCGCTCTTCCGTAACACCGGCAAACTTTCGAGGGAAGATTCTCGATGCAGTAGTTGCCCGCACAACTGCAGCGAGGACTCTAGACGGCAGCTTCATTGTTCACCAAGTGCGGGGACAAGAACAACTGCAGGCCTTGGCCTTCGATGAATACCTCCGGCAAGTTTTTTGCGGTGGTTTTGCCCTATCCGACCCGAGAAGCATAGTTGTCAAGGTACTTGTGTTTATTTTCATGCTAGACGCACTCCAACGCGGTGCTAAATGTGGGGCCCCCTAGGAGAAGAGACCGGGGAGCAGGGCAGGCCTCTCCTTGTTGGAAGAGAATGAAAGATCGGGCTTTCGGGCTGGCGACGCGCCGCCCATTCTGCCGGTGGCGATTACGTTCCGCCTGAAGCGCGGGCGGGGTCAGTGGCTGCGGTGATGAATTTAAGACCTGGCCCACGGGGGCGCAGCGCCTGAGGCGACCGTTTTGACGCACACGTGCCGGCAACGTATTGCCGGCCGCCGTGTGGAGTGGTCGCGACGCCCCACCCTTCGAGGAGTGCCGGGCGGGGTCCTTCGGCGGCTGGGCGCTGGAATAAGTTCCGCAGTGATGAAATCACTTCTGAGGGCGCCGCCGCTTTGGGTCACGGCCTGCGCCAAGCGATCGCCCGTGCGCGACAGTGAGGGACCACCCTAAGCAAGGCTGGGCGCCACCCGTATGAAGTGACGGGCATGAACGGACTCGGAGCAGGGGCGAGCGCCGGCGACTGTCTGCCGGCCCAGGCGTCTCACCCCAGGCGCCTTATCCGCGCCGCCCCATTAGTTGGGGACCTCTCGTCTCTAGTTTTCTCATGCAAATCCGGCGCACCGCGCCCCATCTGACAACCGGAAAACCCAGAAAAGCCACCACCGCCGGAGACTTGTTGCAGTCTGCTGCGTGCTTCGGGGTGGTCTCCTGCACTTGGAGACTGATGATCGGCCGCGGCAGTGAAAATCCCTCCCCCGTTAGGGGCAGGCTTCTACTTCTAGCGCAGGCGTTGCAGCAGCCAGAACACCAGCAAACGCGGAGGACACTGAGCGAGGGACAGTGGGGGCACATACCACGCGCGGGCTGTCCTTTGGCAATAGACGGGGCGCGTTTGCTTCTGGAGCTTCTAGGGCAGAAGCGGCACGGGAAAAGCTTGCGGAGGTGCACGCGGCTTGCAGCGAACAGCCAGAACAATCCAGCGCGGCTCTTCTTTTCATTGTCAGACCAGACGCACGGCGCCGGCGGGCGGGAAGCTGTTGAGCGGTGAGCCTGCTCTCCCTTCTGGTCTCGTCCTATATATAGATACTAACTTATATAGTCATAGAAGAACCCCGACAGGCCTACTTTAATTAGGCTTTGAATTGCATGCAGCCCTCCGCATCACTCAGCTACCCCATGCTTACAAGAATCAACTCAATCATCCACCCAGATGTGCGCCACCTCGCTTGTGGATGATTTCGCAGTGGGCGAGCTGATGGAGGTGCTTCGGATAGAGGAGGAGTGGTATGTCGGGCGAAGTCTGCACTCAAGTGGAGGCTTTCACGCCTTTCCTGCAGTGCAGTCTCACCCGGTGCAGTTGCCACCCTGTCTTGTCCATGCAGCGCGGTTTGGGTCGGTCTCGAATTTGTCAACGGGGACCACTCGTCCGATAAACCAGTCTAAGAGCCGATCGACGTTCTCGGGGACGAGCACCATAGGCACGGTACTGTCTGAACGTGAAGCAGCCAGAGAGGTGATTGGGCCAGTCTTGCGGAAGCGCGACATGCTCTCAGGACGAATGAGGAAAGGCTCGGGAATGGAGCTGCAAGCGAGTAGAGATGATGTAGCTTCCTTTTCATCTCGCGGACATGGTGCTTCCGTGTCCATCCTTGACCTGGAGAGGTATCCACCTGCGAAGAGTGTTCGGCTGATTGCTCAAAAGACCACAGCGCAGTTGCTTGTGGAGAGCAAAATCAATTTCCAACGCTTCGTCGCTGGGGAGAGCCTCGTGACCATTGCGAGACGGAAAACCAAGAAAAAAAGACGAGGAAAAGTTGCAGCTTTGCTTGCTGCCGCAGAGAAACCATGCTCGTGTTCAGTTTCAGGATATGGAAGCAAGATTGAAGGCAGCAGTAGTACTAGCACAGGAGTAATCAATGCCAGTGGACGAGATGGAGCTCCGACATCTACACCTCCCACGGGTGCAGGCCTAACTTCGGTTGCCGCCTTCTTTCGGGCGAAACCGGGCAAGCCGCTTGTTGATGCGTCGTCTATGGATGTAAACAAGATGGGAAGTGGCAATTCCTTGGACGAGAAGGCGGAGATGAAAAACGCTAGCGAGGAGCTCATCCCAGTCGAAAGTACCAACAAAAACGTGACAAGCTGTACTGCAGAACAAACCGAGGTCCATAATATGGAAAACACTGCACTTGCTCCAACGCCAACTAGGATAGGCAAGACACAAGATGGAGGAGTAAGAATAACAAATCAGACACACGGAGAACAAACTTGTTCTACGACAAGGGAAAGCGGCGACAAGCAGTCTCCTGGCGAGCCGGGTGTCAGGGAGAACCTAGGGCGTGCCAGTAGTTCAAGTTCTAATAGTGCTTCTAGTACTGTGGGTTCAGGAACTTCAACTTCAAGGAAGAAAGGCTTTCGATCAAGAGACCACTCTAGTACTAATACTGGTACGACGAGTATTGATACGCATGTTGGAGGGCCGTTTGTTTGTGATGCAGATACAGTGCCAGCTCGTGATAAGTCGGGTCGTGAGAACCACGCAGCTTTGCAACCAGTGGCGTCAAACACAAAGCTTAGTACCGCTCACCTTACGAGCACTACCCCTTCAACCCTCGGAGCAGCCTTTCTTAGAGGTAACCAAGATCCGAGCGCGTCCTCGACCATGTACGGCGCTGGTACTTACAATTCGACGAGCACTGGAGTTTCACCATTATTTCCAATCTCAAGCGGTACGCTCGGGGCATCTACTCTGTGGCCATTTGGTGGAACTCTGAGTACGTCGCCTGGCCTGCAGCACAATTCTTTGTTCGCAGATTCGCAACTACTAGGACAGCAGCACATTGGAGCAGGTTCTTGGCCAAGCGCTGTCCTTGGTTCTGCTTGCAATTCATGTACTCCACCCTTGTTTGATATTTCTGCTACCGCTTTTGGTTGTGCGCTAGAAATGACCTCTGCTAATACTTCTGCCCCTGCTGCCACTGCTACTACTGCAGCTGCCACCTCAACTACCGCTGGGCAACATCAAGCTGGATCCTCGTACCTGCTTACTATGCCAACTGCAGAGCATGAGCATGCTACTTCTGTACAACATCAAGGGCTCTTCCCTATCCAATCTTCGATGCCACCTTCAATAGACACATCTAGTACTTCACAACAAACTCTCTTTCCCAATCTGATGTTGAATCCGAGTGCTGGCTCTTTTACAACCACTGCCACTGTTGTAGAGCAGAACAAGCCTCTTGTGACTAGTACAACCAGCACTGTTCATCTTGTGCTGGACGACAATGCTCAACAGTCTGAGACTCATATCTTCTCCTCGCCCGAGGGTGCTACCGAGGAGACGTCAACAAGCACCTCTCCTAGCACAGCAGCTGTAATTAGGAAGTTTCTCTGCACTTTTATCGTTGGCATCGGGGCAAAGCCTCCATTTAAGGGCTTCGATATTGCATTCTTCACTACCAGGTGACGCGTTGTTCAGTAGGAACAAAGGGGTCGAGGATGATCTGAGGAATGCAATATCGTAGCCTCTAATCCATTCAATTGCGTTGAGCGCCTGTTGGAGACCGGAGCGATGAGCCGCATTTGCAACCAACTTCCCTATGTGAAAATAAGGCTGCGGGGCACTAATGCAAGCGAAAACGCGTGGATTACAGATCCGCAAACCGGTACGCTGGTCCCCGAAGATCCAGTGCAGATAAACGTGTCTGTGTTGCATTCAGAAGAAGGTGCCACTATGTTGCATACGCTCCACTTCATTCCAATCGATCGAGGAAAGTGTCTCTATTTTGTTCACCTATATTGCGTTCCCTTTTCGTCGTGACTTGTTTAGTCGCGAGAATGGCTTTTTTTGGAATGGCTTTTTTTGTTGCAGTCTTCACCTTCAAGCATTTTCAGAACTACTTCCATCTTCTTCTCTCAGCTTATCTGCGGGTGAAGACACGCTTGTCGCTCATGCTTTACGAACTTTACGACGAGTTTTACAAGTTCAGCGGCACGCGCGTTTCGTTGCGACTCCAAGAAAATCCGAGGAACCCAGTTTGTGCAGTGAATAGCGCTGTCAAGTGTCAGTAGTTGGAACTGCAATGTTGCTGTCAAGCGTCAGTAGAACTAGCAGTCTACCAATGGCGCTGTCAAGTGCCAGTACGTTTTTGCGTGGATGGTGCGGCTTCCAAGAATAGCAAGAGACTCATTCATACAGTGATTCCATGGCACCACAAGTGGAGTAAATCTCTCCCATGTAATGCATGATCAATTTGTGATTCAACTGTTTCGTTGAGAATATCATCCACATGAACATTGTCACATGTAAAAAACTTCCTTGAGCGAGAATCTGGATGGCAATCTCAGAGAATATAGGTACTCGTGGAGATTGTATCAATAATTTTGCACGATCAGTGTGAATCACAAAAAGCATTGCAACATGACCTTGTTAGCCACTGCTTGTGTCCGGGGCTCTTGTGGCATGAGGATGCCTGTAGTATGCTCGAGCGGTGCTCTTTATGCGAGAGAAGGCAGAACGCTGGCGAGTGATTGGCACATGACGAGTGAATTTTTTTTGATGCTTCGTGAATTAATAAAATTTGTTGGCAATGCGTTTGAGGAAAAATGTAAAACAATAAACTGTTGTGAGAAGAATCCACGAACTTCTTTTTGCGGGGGCCTGAGAAGATAATTAATGACGATAGTCCAGCGGTAGTTAGAGGGAGTCTTTTTTGTAAAAATCACGTGTGAGTAGCTCGTAGTACGACAAGAGCGAAAACAGTTAAAAAATGCGCGCAGTGAGGAAGCGAGCCCGCTGGCCCGCTACCTGGGCTGCCTCCGGATCGAGTGAAAGTTTTCCTACGTTGTTCCTCCAGAGGAGGCATCACAGTTTGAGTTTCCCGTTTTACTCGATGTGGCATCCGAGTCATTGCAGACGATCGCCGATTCTGGTAGACCACTCATCTTCATCCAGTACTAGTTCAACTGCAAGTACAAGTTCTAGTTCATCCACGCCTCCTCTAAACAAAATAATCAGACGTAGTTTCTCATCCGATACTTCTACAACACCGACTACTTCCGCCGGAAGTAGTACAACTACGTCCACGACAGAGACAGACGACGAGGCTGAGGCACCCGTGGACCCCGAGTTACTAGACAAGATCAACACGCTCATCAAGAGTCAACAGGTCGTGCTCTTCATGAAATTATGGTTAGCTCTCTACCTCATCTCTAATTCTATTTACGGGTCCCTCAACCGACTTTATTATACACGGAATAGTCTTGAGGGATCCCCTCAGGGATGAACTACGGCAGCGCTAACGAAAGGTGGACCGGACGAGCCTCTATGTGGCTTTTCGGCTCAAGTAATCAAAATTCTTGACGAAGAGGCCTTCGACAGTTATACCTTTGTCGATGTCCTAAAGTCTGAAGTTATGACGTTGAGAGAACTTAATATTAGAATTTACTTTGCATTTTGCATATCTATGCTAGGTTTCGTAGAAAAGGAAAACCAAAGCTGCCAATATTAGGTATAGTTTGCATACACTTATGGAAACAAATGGGCATATTCGAATTCATTATCTTGTTCACTCAACATCTACTCACTGAACTGTACGTCGTGCTGCTACCGTATCTAGTACTGCAATTTGCTCTAATCTTCGCGTTCGAAGTGCGGTGAAGGCAGTTAGCGACTGGCCAACGATTCCACAGTTGTATGTGAATGGAGAATTTATTGGTGGCGCACAAATAATCTTAGAGATGCACGCTGCAGGGGAACTCAAGACGCTATTAGCACCATACCAGTCCGAAGATGATTAGCAGTCCTATATAGGAGAGTCTTACTTTTGCAGGTTGCCCGTTTAGGCCTGGTGATATAAGTACTCATGTACCAGCGCTTTTAAAAGTGCTGTCTACATTTTTTTTTGTCGGAGTCATTGGCTACATGTGAATATAGACTCGCAGAATCCACTGCTCTCGCTCTCCAATCCGCATTTACGCACACCAAATGACCCTGCTTCCAGGTGGAAAGACCATTTTATCGGGTGTTCAACGACGAAGTTCTCACAGGTCAAGAAAACTTTGGCAAAAGATTATGGCCAGTTGGCAGAAGATCGATTCTGATGGAGAGCTGCTTGGCCTATTTAATTGGTCATCCAAGATGGGGTTCCGTTGCTAGATAACGCGATGATAAGTGAGTGTTGTAATTTCCATTTTGTACGATAGTTCATTGTGCTGTTCTTTGTGATTAATTGTGAGGACAAGTTTTGTTTAGTATTAAGAGTTTTTGTCCTCTGCCTCTCTGTCCACGTTTTGTAGTTTTGCAGAACGATAAAATTTAAGCTTTGCGTTTGTTTCTTGCTGTCGAGATGTAGAAGTCTATACCTCTTTCGAGGGACTCCTTAGCACTGCTTGTGATGGTCGCATTATCCAGCGCAGGTCACCTTCTTCAATCATGTTGACCAGATTGACATCAAAAAAAATGATGTTACTGGCATTACGTGACGCTCTTGCGCGGCTTGCTCTCACGTTTTTGCTTTTGCCGCAATGTTGGGGTCGTTTTCTGGCGTCACAACGCCAGGAACCCGTTGCAGAGGATGCGGCAGACGGTCAACTTGATGCAGCTTTGAATACTACGACTTCTCCTCCTCGTTTCTCTGATGGGCCAACGATTTCTCGTGTCCGAGCTGTGGCAGCTGCTGCGCAAGAACAAGAGGACGAGGACGATGCCGAGTTTGCCGAGGTAATAGGCGGCCACACGGCCCGGCTCCTACGAATGGACCGCATTTTAGGGGATTTGCAGCGCGTTCGTAAGAGGCACGACGAATTGGCACGCGAGGCTTTGGCGGTCGGTCTTGAGGCAAATGCGAGTGTCGCAGCCTTATCACCTTCTTGCACTAGTACTAGTCGGAGGACAGGGACAGCTGCGACAGCAGAAGGATTGGACATAACTTCGGTTAAGGCATCCCCTATTCCATCTTCGGAATCATCTTGGCGCTGTCTCAAATAGGGAAAACATGAATCCTAAGATGACGCCGAAACATGAAATCCTGTAAGAAAGCAGCTCCAAGACCAAGATGACCTGCAAGATGGACAATTGGGGTGAAAGTTCCAATTCGAGACCTTCCCTCTACGGCTTGCCCACTTCAGCATCCTCTGGCACACTGAGCATAGTAGCAGGATCTTCTTCCATTATATTAGAGGGTGGCCCCTCACCTGCTTCACCGGATTTGGCCCCTTCACGCCCACCGGCGCACGCTCTGGCGATAATTTCTAGCGAAGATGATATGAATGCGACGATGGGGCAGGCAGAAAACTACGGAGAGGAGCACCTGGAAGAAGATGATCTCCAGATCGATGTAGTTGCTGGCGGTGCAGCACATGATGATACTGTCACTTGTGTGCCGATGAATACCACGACGACGGATGATGTCGATCATACTACGGCCGTCCGAGATAATTCTCCAGTCAGTGGAGAAGAACCCGTAGATCTGGCATTTCCAGTGTCACCGGAAATTCCCAGGCGTAGTTATCCTAGATTCAGGAGGGATGCTCGTCGCTTGTCATTTCGTGCTCTGTGCGAAGCGCGTGTGGAGCGGCTGCGCCTCATCGAGGAAGAGCAGGGACGCCTTAGCGAGGAAGAGCGCGCCTTGGAGGAGGAAATGGAGTCAATCAGATCACAGGTGCTTGACATGCGTGCTGCGCGCACCGGCGATCATGATGTCCAGCGACGTGAAGGAGGCCATCAAGGCCATGTTGCTACTGATGGCCAAGGACATGAGGCTAATACAGAAGATGGTACTGCTCAGGCTTCCAGAGAAGTTGGTACTGCTGAGGCTTCTAGAGCTCAAGTAGAACACATCGAGGAGAATCTTCAGCCGCATGTTCGGATTAGTAGCAGAAATGCTGAGTCTGAGGAGCAGCAGCACTCAGAGACTTCTACCTCTGGTGGAGTCGCAACGCCAAGTCTTTCACCGGAAGCAATAGGGGGAACTGCGCTGCTTTTTCGAAATCACGTACTGTTATCAACTAGACCGACGGCCGCGGCATCGACCCCTTATGGCCGCTCTAAGCCTCTTTTGTTCCATGCAAATGATACCAGAAGCCTTGCGCGAGAAGTCACTAAGCTGCCTAGGTCCTTGGCGATTAAAAGGACGAATGTGTATGCTTGTTATGGACTACAGTGGATGAGTACTCTCTCTCATTTTTAACAAACATTTCCCTCGTAGGTTGAGATGTAGATCTTAGTCCCTATTCGCAAAATATCTCTAATCAACCACCACAAGTGTGGCTCGAGGATCACGGGAGAATGTGGAAAACCAGCAGGGAGAACTAGAAAACTGGGACGGATGGGAAGGGCCTGAATACTGGGACGGTTGGCTAGAGGATGAGGACGAGGAAGAAGAAGACGAGGACGAGGACGAAGACTTTATGATCTAAACAAGGGTGCTTAGGGAGTTTAACTTTAAGCATCTCTATCATAATTCTTGAAAAATAAGTACGTAGCCTTAGACCATACTTCTTCATCTTTTCCGAGGAGGATGACGAATATTTGGATGAGCGAATTTACAGTCCTGAACGCGCCTCTGGGGAGGAACCGCCAGGTAGCACACCGATGGAAGAAGATACTGGCGCTGGTGCTGGATCCGCTCAGGGTGCTAATCAGGCGAATGCAGGACAAGAGACTGGAGCAGAGACTGGGCCAGGTCGGATTCAGATCCATCAGTACGTGGAGGACAACTCGTCTTTGTGTGAAGTGATCGTGGGAGAAACGGGGATCACAACCTGCGTTAGGGCTTGAAACTTCACTACGTCCGTTAAAACAGTTGACTAGGTCTTCTTACTAGTACGCTGTTCCTCAAGTTTAGCGATCATTTTTCTGATGTTTCTTATTGGGAGTCGGAAGAACTACAGGGAAAAAGTGAAAAATTAAAATTGTTTCCGTTTCGTGTTCTAAACTTGGCCTCGAAAAATGGATGACGGCTGTGCGGGACAGCGTGGCGGCGCTCATGGGCTCTCGTGTCGTCATCCCGGACGACATGATGCAAGGATTTGCCCGGAATCGAATACATCAACTGCTCGTAGATAAGTTACCGGTACGAGAAATTCTCTGCCGACCAGGGGGATCCGTTACAACAACGTCGGCGGAGAACGAAGTGGCGATGCTCACTGGCGACAGTTGTGCGAAGTGCCTCATCTGTCTTATGAAAACAGCGCTGGATAGTGTGTTCTAGGAATGCTTTACAGCTGTAGAAGTATGCTAATCCTAAATTAGGATGAAGCTATCTTGCTTGTACTTACTGTCACTCTCATCTTCTTGAAAGAAAAGTCACCGCTTACTGTTTACTCGTTCATAAAGTAACAGGAGCTGCAGTCGGGTGAGACTCGGTCTCGAGGACAGTCATGCCACTTACTGTCATGCACAGACGATCTCCGGCCTCGCGGCACTGCGACCGGGAAGGCAGGGGTACAACAAGAAACAGGTATAACTAGCTTTCGTTTTGTAGAAGGGAGCAACGATAATGGATACCTAGCGTCTTCCCCCATTTAGTGCTCATAGAATATGAAGCAACGAAAGACAATACAGCATCCATCCGCCTCTCTTATCTCAAGCTTCAATCACAGGTGAATATTGTGAGGTGTTTTGTGACTGCGGTAAGTTCTTTCATCGAGATTGCTTGAAACGGTGGGTAGTTCCCAATAAGAATTGTCCGTGGTGTAGGGGCAAAATCATCCGTGTGCTTACGCTGTTGGGTGATGATTTATGACAGAGTTAAATTCTCATTCTCTACTACTTATTCGGGTCTACTTAGTCAAACGAGCAGGTATTCTCCACCTCCCGCCAAGCGTTACCGTATAACAGAATAGGTAAGTTAGTATCTTCGCCCTTGTTCCGCTCACGGAACGAATGGAATATTTCCTCTACATACTTCTCTAGTTATGAGTTGAAATCTTCATTTTTGAGTTTGAGACGCTAATAACAGCAGACGAGGTCTTCGGGAGCGGTGTTCGGGTGGGAGGTTCAGAGACTGCAGGAGACTCCCGTAGCTGGATAGCGTGTGAGCTGCCAAGTGATTTCTTGCCATCAACCTCCAGGTCGGATCCTGAACAGCAGCCTGCCTCATCCTCCTCGGGACAGCAAGCGGCCTCCTCCTCCGTCGTGGCTCCTTCAGATTTGATGCATGACGACATGGTCACAGGGAGTTCTAGTATAACTCATCCTAGTAATGATCCTAGTCCCTCTTCTAGAACTTCTTCCGGTGCTAGTAGCACTGGAGGTGATTTGCGGGGAGGACCATCATCGTCGTCTTCTAGAACAGCCTTGGCAGAGAATTTGGGAGCGCTTGTATCCTCACGAAGTCAGGCCAGCAGGCCTTCTAGTAATCAGGGAAGCAGGCCTTCTAGTAGCTTCTCCAGACCGTTTTTTGTAACGCCGCCACCTGCTGACACGGAAGCCAGTGGGTCGGAGGATGAAGATTAGGATGACATCATGAGCTCCTATTCCTTGAAACGAAACTGCTGTCGATGTGCTTATGTTGATGTTAACCATGTTTGTATAAGATTTTTTCAAGATAATATGAGGGATCTGGTTTCATTGTCAGTAGGTACAAAGAAAGGAGAAAAGCAATGTCATTTCTTCATTTCACGCAACCTGTGGACACGTGGTCTACCGTGCCAGCATGGATACTTGGTATGATGGGTGGGACGGCGAGGGAGAGGGAAAGAGCTAACGGGGGTTTTATGGCGGATTCTGCGAGGACTCCCGGAGACGAGACTCTCACTCATGATGGCATTCGGACTGATATCGAGGGAATGGCGCAACAAGCAAGACGAGCCATAGCGCCTTCAATTAAGGCCGGAAATGCACTTCATAGAGTCCTACTTGGGATTCTGAGAAAGTGAACCCAAGACATGAAATGTTTCGAGCTCTAACTACTCAAACAGCTCTCACCGTTCTGATGCTCGTGCTCCTCCAGGAGGTTTGTCACAAATCGAGGCGTCACCTTGCGAGTACCTTCCCGATACGCAGGAGCTTTTTGTTACGTAAAAATTCGAAAGCACTTTTACTTATAAATGACTGAAACTGTGAAATGAAGTCTAGAAAGATATTAAAGGTTTGAGTGCATGTGCTCAAGAGGTTGTTATCAATGATAACTCATCGTAGAAGATAGCACTATTCATGAACGAGGATGGTAACAGGAACAACAGCATGCATGCACGCATACTACTATTCATAATGTACCGCGTGTGTGTCCAAAGCATTAGCACTTTTGTGTATCGAAGAAGAAGAGTTCGAGTACACCATTTTTTCATTTTGCGAACTGAGTCAGAGTTAGAGGAGCCGACGCATGGTACTGAGAGCTGCCCAAGCCTTCCGGGTCACGGATACGACGCTGAAAGCCAACCGTGCGCAGTGCAATAATCGCTCGGAGGGCCACTACTGCAGTAGATATAGGTGCGAGGAATCGGAATTATAGCTGAAGAAGACCTGTGTTCGGGATTGTTTCATCTCATGTGGAATTTTTTTGACTATCTAGTAAGGTTTACTTGCTTATAATATAGCTGAAGAAGACTAGTACAGTCATGAGAACTACTAAGTATATCCGTGGTATTAATGAGCAGCATGAGTATGACTACAACTTCGATATGTGCATTCCAAGAGCGGTTCTAACTAGTAGTAGTTGGCATGATTTTTCTTGACAAGCAACGATAATTCATGTTTTTCAGTGTTTGCGCTTGGGCGTAGCTGGCATATTACATAGATGAACAACATGGACGACGTGTTTTCATACCATTGGATCATTCTCCTCTTTTTTTGAGAATTTAGATTGATTTCTTGAGCAAAACATCTCAATTTTGACTTTTCGCGTAATGCAACTCCCCATAAGTGTCACTTCTCCGCGTAATGCAACACCACGTGCATCCACCTCGTTCACTGCATTGCCTTATAGTGATTATTCAACTTGTGCTTGAACTGGATGTAGTTGTACAAGCTAAATTTTTTGCATTTCTGTCGTGGTACAGGTCTTCCCACATACTTGCTTTCTACAACACGGAGCCGTCGATGTCTCGTTTCTAGATGGCGTATAGGGTACGTGTTTTACCTCTGTCATATGAAGTCTGACCCATGTTGATGCACTAGTTTCTTGGAGGATGGACGAGTCAACATTGTCGACGACCGTCACTCAGCGGCAAACGGCCTGAAGCTGTCACGTAGCGCTTGAGGAAGCTGCCTCTGCGACGTGATGCTTGTCGGATTTGATGTTCCTGTAGCTGATTACCGTCTACAGATGTTACTAGGATTTCGCGTGTAATGAAGGCGTTCTCGACACACACACATAGACACACTCGCACATCAGGATCAATTTGAAAACGTAGGCTGCGTGCAAGGGTTCCTTTCCGTAATTTTGATGAGGAGTACGAACGGGAATGTATGGTATGGCTAAAGAATAGCGTAATCTTAGTCTTGTTAATACATTGTTCTTGCACTTTCGTAATTCACAAGGCGAAAGCACTTAGAATTACTCAGGAAAAGACATCATCATCATGTATCGGCTGCGCGGGGCGTCTCGCGCAAAGGGAGGGGTGCCGACCTCGATCTCGTCTGGAAAGACGCTCTCGTCCGGGTCTCCGTTACTTAGACAACGAGGAAACACGATTGCCGCACGAGGAAATGACACCAGACAGATATGCGAAAGAGGAAGCGACAGAGCAGCTGTCGACACACTGTGTGTGTTGAATGAAGAAGCAAAGCGAAAACTTTCAGAGCAAGACGCCCTTGTCCGCATTCTCTCGGAACGTGACCCGGTGAATTATGGACGCAGTGGTTATTGCAAGAGACCTCTACCAGTACTATGTGTGCTAGGAGTAGTTCCTGTCGTTCGCCTTGTTTTGTTGTTGATAGTACTAGGCAAGAGACGAGAAACTTGAAGAATCAATAGCATCTTTCATAATGTGGCGAATAGGAGGATAGCCGATTGCCGGACGATAGACAGTTTGCATCACCTCATCAGCAGAGACACAGCCGAGTTCAGTTTCGTCAACCTCTTTACCGCACTGCACCGCCTAGCGAAGCTTGTAGTTACGATGAACAGCCGTGGAAGTCGAAGCCGTGGCGGAGCTCCTAAACTCTCTTCAAATCCGCGACCGCGTGGTGGAGGTAACGAGAACGGTGCGGCGTCCCCACATGCATGTCTCCACATCGATGCAGATCTTGGAGCTCGTAGACTCTTCGCAAAGCTAATCTGCAGCATCGAGACGAGGTTGCAGAAAGTGGTGGACGAGAAAACCACTCATAGACTCTGGGGAGAGGAAAAGCCACCAGGGTCGCTGTCCTGGAGCAGCTTTCTGTGGGCGACAGCGAAACTCGTACAAGAAACTCGGGCTCTCCATTACAGCAACTGGGCAGAAGGAAGTGATTATGAGTCGAATCTCGATCAGGTAAAAAAGTATGAGTGTCTCGCAGGTCTCTAGAGAGGTCTTCCAAATGTTCAGCACTGGTAATCGCTACCAGAAGAATAGAGGTACTCAGCAACAGCATAATCTTATACTTTAATACTTGGAACTGCATTCAAGCCTTTTGACTCTCCTCGGCCGGGCGACGCTAGATTTCCATCACAATTTCCGGCAATACCCTGTTCTCCATATGTCCAATGTGTGTTGGGCATACGCGACGTTAGCTCAGGAAATGAGTACAACAAGTTCTACCTCTACGCAACGCCTTAGCGTGGCTAGTCTTCCTGGAGGTGGTGGCTCTAGAGGTCCTTTCAGTTCGGCTGTTCACTCTGCTTGCAGGGGCTTTTTTGATGTTGGTGTTGATGCTGGAGGCGAACAATGTGAAGATGCCACTAGTAGGCAGAAGTTTTGGGATTCCGTTCAAGACCACGTGATGTCTTCCGGAACGGGTGCTCCTGCTGAGCCGCAGCATTTGACGAACATAGCGCGTGCTCTTGTCAAGTGGGGACACGATTATCCTGCATGTTCATCGTCTACTTCCGGTTCATCGACGTTGCTGAGTCCGAGATTCGCGGAGTATTTGGTAAACGACTTTTTGTCCGCGCGGACCAGTGCCTACACAAATGAGCAACGCGCCTGCTTACTATGGACGATTCTTGTGAATGATGCGCACAGGGGTTCTAGAGGCGCAGGGGTTCTAGGAACGAGCCTGTCACAAAAGTTGATCACTGAAGCGTTGGAAAGGGGTTTGCTCTCGGATTTCGGGAAAGAACAAATTTTGGGAGGTTTGCGTGCCTTAGCCTTGCATTCCACGCGTGAACTGCGTGATACGGATGGAAACAAGGGACTCTTCTCTGGTGGTCCAGAAGTCGAGCTTTTCCGAGAATTCGCCTTTGGTCCTACCCTACGGAGTCTTTTGACTAAGGATAGCGCGTTGGTGGTGCAGACTCTTGGCCATGTCGTGTCGAATGCCAGTGTGGCGACAAACGAGAAGCTTTCTTTTTTGCGGTCTCCGTTTGTGAGTCGAAGTATTCTCACGTGGTTAACTCAAGCTGAAAATTGTATCGGAGGTTCTGAGAGAAATTCGTCTTTGTCGGCCAACGACGCGACGAGATTGTTGTGGAGTCTGGCTGAGATCATGAGTTGTCCCACAGATACATCAGATCGAGGGGGCTGTCCTATGAAAGACGCTGCATATTCCAGACACCATGATGAAATAGTGAAATATGATTTTTCTGGTGGAGCTGTTTCCAAATCTCTGGCGACGCGGCTCTGTGCGTTGATAAGTCGTTCCCCTGAATCGTTGCGGCCTGCAGGGGTTGCGGCTGCAGCGCACGCCTTGGGGCGGCTCGGGATGGACCCGTTTGGGTTCCTAACATGCGACTGTTTTTGGAAAAGCCCGCTTCTAGAAAACAAAAGTAGCACTGGTCTTGCGGCAGTGCATTATCTTGGTCTGATCTCAGCCTTCGTCAAAGTATACGGGAGGATGGTTGACCACGAAAGGGTGGAGTTTTTGCTGCAGCACAGAGACTTCTTGGTTGTGACTGAACCTGAAGCTGATGAGCTAGAAAGGAAAAAAGTTGACTCTCCTGTCCGTGAATTAGAACAGGATATTGACAGCACGGCTAGAACTCATGTTGTGCGATTGCTTCCGGGTTTCCTGTCGTGCTGTGCTAGTGCTGCTGGTGATAAAAACGCGAGATTATTAGCCGGCTCACTTGTGCGGCGATTATTTCCAGTTTTCGAAAAAACGAAAAACAAAAAGGACGAATGCTTCGTTGTACCTTCTTCAGAGGGCGCCTCTCGTATGTTCCTTTCTTGTGCAAAGCTATTCACTGCTACACAAGCCGATTCTGGTGAGGGGGCCATCAACGGTAATATGCAGATATACGATTATAATTCTCGACCACGAGCAGGAGTCAGGGATCCGGAAGAAGAAACTTTTTGGAATTTTGCTCTCGCTGCTGCACGTCTGTGTAATGCAGACGAGCATCTCGAAATGAGCCTGAAACGTTCATCCTCCTCCGTGGCCATAACCACAAGTCAGTCAAAAATATTCGGGAACTCAATCATAGCTGCCTGTGCGCTCCTAGCCTCTGGTCGATGTCGAGAAGCGGGAAGAGAGCGGGAGCTCCTCTTGGACCTAGTTGAAAACGGAGATAGAGCACTTGCAGCTCCTAAGCATGATCTGCGAATGGAGATGGAACTAAATCAGAATAATTCATCTAGAATGGCTCTTGTACCAGAGGGCGATGAAAGTGGCAAGATACTGATGGCGCTCGCCAAAGCTGAAGTGTTTCGGCCAGCTTTTCTCAGATCCTGCATACATCGGTTTGGTGAAGAGCGGGACCATCAGTCAGCTAGAAGTATGTTGGAGGTGGACCACGACCATTCCAAGTTGCTTCAGACGCTCACTTGGGCTTGTCACCGCTGTGGTGATACAGTTGGTCTGCGTGAATTGTACTCTGCTTTTTTTTCCCACTTTCGACAAAGGAGGACTCAAGAGCAAGACTTTGCGTCTTCAGCGTCCTTACGTGTTGCGTTTGCCTACGTGTGTGCATCGCTGATGCCACCTCTTGTCATCCTGCGGTCATTATTATCTGCGTCTGCTCATTCTCAAATATCAGTAGACAAAGAGAACAAGGAAATGAAGCAGATGCTCGAGGTTGTGGAATTCGCTTTGACCGGGGTTGGCGTATCTACAAGAAACTGTGCGACGTCGGAGACCAGCCTTCAACAGGAAGTGGGCGAAACGTGCCGCGCAATAGGCCTTGCATGCAATTTCGAGCATGTCTCTATGTCTCCCTTTATCGTAGATATACGCATAATATCACCACAAGAACAAGGTCAAGAAGTCCATTCAAAGAACCCGGCAAAGATAGGAACCAGCGCAAGTAGAAATTGTCTGAGTTGTAGATTATGATACTAAGAAAGTAAACAGTTTTGATTGGACGACCACGCAGGAGGACGCTGCGTCTGAAGTTTACAAAAGCAGAGGTTGTACCATGGTAATGTGTTCTCATCATGATATGTGTGGAGGAGCACATGTTCATTTTTACATGTGCCTAAAAAGAACGTAAACGAGTGATGATACCCTCCACAGAGCCTTGGCTTTATGGGCGCAGGATTTATCGCAACAACGAGTGACATCACAGATGACGGTGTGCGAGGACCACGATATCTTTGTTCCAAAGTCCGGTTCCCGTTTTTTGGGGAATGCAATCATTCGGTTTTTCCCAGCGTTTAGATTGATCGAGGTTACGTTCCCATTATGATGATGCAGATACGGAGGGATCCCATACGCCTGGATCACACAATGACCCTTGTAGCACTTTGATATAGTTCGTCGCTCTTTTAGTATAAAGTTACGCCGAGCTTGTTTTTATCAGATCCATTAGACTGGGCGAGCTCCTTTTGATGTTACAGGCGTAAGTAGCCTGTCCAACAATTGCCTGTATCCCATCTTCGTGGTGCAGTAAACATTTCCTGACTTTTGGGTATACTTCTGAATAATTCAGGTTGGCAATAATTCTATTTTGAAATCAGATAGCAAGTGTTGGATAATCGATTCATTGTTGTTCTTGATTGTATATTAGACTAAAAACGAGAAAAATATGTTCGGAGCAGTGGGATCAAGCGCGGCTTCCCGCGTGGGAGCGGGTCGGCTCTCTTTCGGATGCTCGAATCTCTTTTCGGGTGGAAGCGTTTCGTCCTCTAGCGCCCGACAGCAGCAAAGTAGAGGTATCATGACCATTTGTGGTCGTGGCGGAACGAGTGGATTAGCGATGTCAAGAAGAGGTGTTGTGAGCCGCGATATATCTGCGACGACAAAGAGCCTCAGTTCGCCATTGGGGAACGACAAGAAGATGAACACCGGACGTAATACTAGTTGGCGTCCAGCCGGTTTGCAGAAACGTAGTTTTGCAGCATCGACAGACGACCCTTCGCATGCAAAAATCAAAGAACTCGTTGACAAGAATCGTATTTTTGATTTCAGCCATTGCCTGCTGTTTCGTCAATTTTCTTAACCAATTAAGTGCCTTTCTCTTAGAAACATGCTAATCGCTCCATTCATTATCAAAAATATTCTTGGATATCATCATCATCAGATCAATATCTACAAAAATTTCAGCTGTGTTGCTTTTTATGAAGGGTAACCCGATTTTTCCGCAATGTGGATTCTCGAGGACTGTCTGTGAGGTGCTGAAACGCGAAGGCCTAGAGGGGAAATTCCATTCTGTTAACGTCCTTGAAAACCCAGACATTCGAGAGGGCGTCAAAAGTTTCAGCGACTGGCCGACGATACCTCAATTGTATTTTGAATTTCAACATTACTTGGAAAGTGAAGATAGTCCTAGTAAAACGAATTTACTTGTTCTTGATATGACGAATTTTTGTTGTTGTTGTTGTTGTAGGAATGGGAATCTTTCTCTTACGAATGTTGCACAGAAATACAATTTACAAGTTAGGAGGCTCCTTGTATCCACCACCCACGACCGAAAAAAATTAGGTACGTAAACGGGGAGTTCGTCGGCGGGTGCGATATCGTACTCGAGATGCATCGTCAAGGGGAGCTGAAGGATGTGCTGAGTAAAAAAGCATAAGATGAATCATTGTCGTAGGCAAGGTCTCGGCACCTCCGCGGTCGCGATGAGTCCTCAGCCTCGGGTTCCTTTGTCGCACTCTCATGATCAGCATTTTGCTAGAGCCGCGATATCATAATTTGGTATATTGCGAACGATTGTACTCGCAATGTGAAGCTCTTTCGCGTATTTTTGGTCAGATATGATTCAGATTCAGATTGTCATCATGTGTCGAGATGATGCATCGACCGGGATTTTGACACGATACAGCGACACATCTCCCCATCAGACTTGAGAAAGAAAAACATAAAGAACGCTGACGACGAGCCTGACTCCATCATCAAAGACGACAACTTCATTCCACCGAGAACTCTCATTTTCCTATGAATGCCTAAGCCGAAAGAACCCTAAGCACTGGTAGTTTTTCTATCGGTTCATCAAGGACCACACGATACCAGGACATCTTACCTTTGAAGGCGGGCGTTACGTTCTACTTACCTCTGTTTAGAGTTGGACAACACGCACTCATACTCGAGATGATTTGTTGTTTCTATACCGCACGCTTTCAAGAGAGTCGAGTGCGTCCAGGTTCAATGGAGCAGGTCAAGCGAAAAAGTGCCAGACTGTCTGTACCAAATCAATGCTTGTACTAAATTCGTTTCACGCTCATGCTTCAATTTCAAAAAACGAACGACGAGAAGAGAGGTTTCCTGAAAGAGGAGAGCGCCTTCCTGCAAGTGTCCTACAACATGTGTGTGTCACGTGTAAATGTTTCGTTGTTCATGCTTGGAGGGAAATGAAGCATGCGACTCAAGAGAGATAACCTAAAAACGACGCAAATATAATCAAAAGGTTTGCTGAAAATTTGATATAGTTCTTCGATGCTAAGTTTCAGTTAACTTTTCATCATGCTTCTTTACGTCAAGAGTAGAACGAGACATAGTCTGAAAAAGGGCTATGTATTTTGCAAGCATTATACACCTCTTATGCTAAGCTCTTAGTCTTAGAGGTATAATGTCTGTCAGTAGATCAAGATCTGTGATTGCGCTGGACAATTTTTTCGCAGAGTGTTTGTGACTTGTGCTTTTTGTGTGAATGCGGTCTCCTGTACCCCGACCCACTGTCGCATCCTCCTAACAAGGAATTTTCTATGTTTAAGAAGGTCTAGCTAGGTATACTTATATTTTTATGACTCGTCCTTAATCTAAAGATCCCTGCAAAAAAATGAAGTTAAGTACAACCCCAACTCTATGTTGAAAACATGTGATTTATTGTTCCTTGTTCCTTTTACCCTGATTTGCCAATCTTCACTCCTTCGATTCTACTAAACGTTCTAGATTCTACTCCTCTTGAGGACTACTCATACATCTGCAGAACAGCTTTTGATTGTTATTCTAGTCCTCTTGATTCTGTCTCCGTTATTTTCTGTATATTCAATATTGAAAACAACTTGCGTGTCTCTTTTTCTCACGGACTCTTTCTCGTCATCCTTTATCAAGACGAGTCAGAGTCACAGTCGGAGTTTCGCATAGAAATCACTTCTAATCAAGTTAAGTGTACTTCGGGATTCTTGATGCGACTAGTATCTTGAGGTTGTAGATGTAGGCACATGATCTATGTTCAAGCTTTTGAGATTAGAATTCTTTGAAGGAGTGCTTTGGTGCTACAATTACATACCTCGTGCTGTTACTCATCAGGTACGGAGGGCATCATCTTGAAAAATGGATTAGAATTTGTCACAAAATTTTTCCATCCGCATCTTGCGAGTCGTTCTTAGCAGGCATGAACTAAGTTGTTTTGTGTGATAGACACTCAGAGCGATGTAAAAATATGTGAAATGTTGGGCGCGGGTCCACTCATTAAGTTCAACATTTTCGTGTACTAGGCGGTTCCTTACCGCAGCAATCGTCCAACGTGTGAAAAGAGGCGCTCGTTTTTCTTGTGAGAAAAATTAAAATAGAAATTGAAATTCACGGCACAAGCATGTGTTGTTTGTGAGCACGAAATGGATGTCGCACTCGCACATGCACGACTACACAACTGTCACAGTGAAATCCGACTGCCCTCTTCTAGTACAGATGGAAAATCAGTCTAAAAAGTCAATCTTCAAGTACTAATATATCCAGCGTGATGTAGTTGGATGACGGTGTGTGATCTGATGAAAATTTGATGTTGCCTTTCTTGGTGAAAGCCTATGTGTGATTTCAGGTGCTTGTGGACGACCTAGAACTTGATCGACAATCCCGACTGTTGTGTGGTATGTCAGTCCTGACGGTTTTTTCTCTTTGAGATGATCGTAATACATGAGAAAATGGATATCGATTTTCCCCATTCTTTTCAGTTGTACTTACAAGTCGGAATTGGAGCTTTTGCTTTCTTTCTTTTTCTTCGTACTCATCGATCTCCATTTCGTTTTCGAATGTCCACTTCAAAAGCTGTGTAGTTCTACTTTTCTTTTGCGGTTTGGTACAAACACGACTGGCATCTTCAATCATCATTGTATTGTTCTTCAACATCTTGTTCCTTCTGCTACAGCACAGCACCCAATCATCGTGCTCTTGTTCCTTGTCAACCATCATCTTGTTCCTTGTACTGAGACATTCGGATTCTATAGACATTCATCCATTCTGTGTTGCTTGTGCATGAATCAGTGAACGAAAGCAAGTGATTTTTTTCTCCCATCCAAAAAACAACCAGGGATTTGATGGTATTGCTTCTCTTTTGTTGTGGCGCAACAGGTGTTGAAAGGAGACAGCAAGTGTCATTCCTTCGGATGGCGGTAGTTTCAGTTTACTTACCACCAGTTTTGTTGATGTTGATTATATATACTTACTCCTTAAGTATTTTTTTTCCGCATCAAGCCTTGTACTGTAAAAACTGTAAATATTCCTATCAGATGACTAGCTCTTTGGAGTGGTTCCCCAGGGGCAGGGGTCAACGGAATTTCAAAACATTTGCTAGAACAATGAACTGCAGGTGAATGTGCAAGAAAAGCAAACAGATGCTTCGCCAAAATAAATGTGAAATAGCATCAGTCTCGTCTTCTGGACGAAATGCAAGGTCAAAA